CCATCATCCATCCATCCATCCATCCATCCACCTACCTACCTATCCATCCATCCATCCATCATCCATCCACCTACCTATCCATCCATCCATCCATCATCCATCCACCTACCTATCCATCCATCCATCCATCATCCATCCGCCTACCTATCCATCCATCCATCCATCATCCATCCACCTACCTATCCATCCATCCATCCATCATCCATCCGCCTACCTGTCCGTCCATCATCCATCCATCCATCCTCCCACCCACCCATTCATCATTTCACCCATCCATCCTTCAGCCGTCATCAATCCCTCTTCCTTCCTCCCTTCCTTCCTTCCACCATCTATATTCCATCTTCCTGTTTGTCTTTTCATTTAACTTATTTTTGGATCTTCTGCTATGTGGCAGGCAGGCATCATTTGGGGCATTAGATGTTGAGTAAACCAAGGTCTGTGCTCTGAAGGGTCCTATGTTCTAGCTGGGGGAGACAGACCCTAATCCAGTGTGTGACACATCTTCAGGTAATGACAAGCGCTATTTAGAAAATAAGATGAGGGATAGAGCGTGATGGAGGGTGGGCCACCTTAGCAGGGTGGCCTGAGGGGCTTCTCTCGTGAGGGGACATGTCTGCAGAGGCCTAAAGAGGTGGAAGGCATTGTCAATGCAGTCGGGGCTTCCGTGGCACTCCCGCAGGGGCCGTCTCCTCTCCCCCCTTCACTCATGTGTCAGGTCATTCTTTCAACAGGTGATGTGGGCACTGCCCTGTGCCCGCTGTTACAGGTGGGGCGCGGCAGTGACGCGCTTCACTGCGGGTGAAGCTCCTGAGAGAGCCAGACACTAGTGTCCCTTGTGTCTGGCCACAGCTGCTCCCCCTCCTGGCTTCCTGGGCGGCACATGGGCTAGCGGCTGGGGACGCAGCAGGGAATAAGTGAGACCTGGCCCACGCTGCATCTGGTCAGGTGATGTTAGAGACCAGGTGCCCAGGGGACAGAAGCAGACTGGACCCAGGGACAGGGGGCCGACAGGACGAGCCCTGGGCCCTGTGTTGGGGGGGTGGCGCCTGCTGTGGGGCTCAGCGGTGCCCCTGGGATGGAAATAAGGCTGGAGCCAGGACTCCTTGGAGCAAGTGGGCAGTGGACAGGCCACCTGGGGAGCACGGCAGCCCTGCCCAAGGAGCCACCGTGTGCCCAACCTCCCCCCCCCAGCACCATCCTCTCTGCCTGGGCAGAGTGGTGCCTGTGGGTCGGGGCCACAGAGAGTGCCCAGGTGGTGGCTTCAGCCAGCCGAGGTGTAGCCGCCACTGTGCTCAGCATTGCAGTGGCCTTGCTCCAGGGAGGGGCCTGTGGGCGCTGACAAGCCTTCCCGTGCCCAGGTTATGAAGGAGCTTCTGCGCCATGGTGCTGACCCCAACCTGCTCCTGACCAAAGGCGTGGGCAGTGCCCTGTGTGTCGCCTGTGACCTCATCTATGAGACCCGGAGGAGCCTGGACAGCAAGCTGGCCCTGGTGAGGGGGTGGACGTGGAGGGGGCTGGCACTGGGGTCTAGGGTCTGGGGGTGTGCGTTGGACCCTTGGTCTGGCCCTTGTTCCTGGCAAGTGGAGCTGTGTCCTGGGCGGGGATCGGGGTGCCGTGTCCTGGGCGGGGATCGGGGTGCCGTGTCCTGGGCGGGGATCGGGGTGCCGTGTCCTGGGCGGGGATCGGGGTGCCGTGTCCTGGGCGGGGATTGGGGTGCTGTGTCCTGGGCGGGGATCGGGGTGCCGTGTCCTGGGCGGGGATCGGGGTGCCGTGTCCTGGGCGGGGATTGGGGTGCTGTGTCCTGGGCGGGGATCGGGGCGTCGTGTCCTGGGCCGGGCTGGAGCCGCCCTTGCTGGCGCTTTCTCACCCTCGGCCCCCTGAGAGGGAGACGCTGTGATGCTTAATCAGCAACAGATGCCAAAGTAGAGGCTGTCTGACAGTGAAGCATTCGCCACATGCTTATTTACCGGAACTCTAGTATAGATTTAATTAAAAATTGCAAGAGAATATATCTGATTCTCATAAATGCTTCCAACTTATAACTTCTAAGCAGACAAATTGCACCAAACTATCACAATAATGAAACCGCTTTTATTATCCGTACACCATAAACCAGTTATAAAAATATTGACGCTGCAGAATGAACTTAGCTTTTATTAGCTCTATAGTATGTGTATTCATTCTTTTCCTTACATCTTCTCAGGGCCGCTGTTGGGGTTCAGGAGTCTGTTTAACAGACTTGTGGCTGTTGTCCCCCAAAATCAATTCCTGTTAGCTGAGGAGTCCAGTGACTGTTTCGGATTTTGTTGGTAGAGAAGCACATTGTCCGCAAACCATGGCTTTCCTCTCTCCCAGCACGTGTCACCTGCGTTCCTGTTCTTCTCCTGCTGCCTTGGCTGGTTCAGTGGGTGCAGCGCCACCTTGGCTGGTCCTCACGCCAAGAGGGGAGCTTTCTGCAGGGCCTTCTGCCCACTTCTGGTGGCCCATTTGATGCTTTGTCAGTAAGGGGCGCTCCTGCAGAGGTCGTGCTGTACATGCTTTTGAAGAACGTTGTGCTGAAGGACACATAAATGTACCATCGCGACCGTTTCTATGCTCAGCAGCACTAAGCGCATTGACGTGTCGTGTAGCCACCCCTGCGTGTCCCCAGAGCTCTTGGACCTCATTGGTAGAAAAGTGTATTCACCCTGCGAAATGGACACTCTGCACCCATTAAACACCACCGCCTCCCCCAGGCCTGGCCCCCGCCCTCTGCCCTTTGTCCCATCGGTGTGACTCCTCGAGGTCCTCGAGGAAGCGAGTCACACAGCGTTTGTCCCCCTGACTGGTTTACTTCGCTGATCACATGACCTCCAGCTCCATCCCTGTTGGAGCAGGTGTCAAATATTTTCCATTCTGTGGCTGAATAATATTCCCTGTGCAGATGGACCACACTTTGCTGTCCATCGTCCATCCGTGGACCCTTGGTGGCTTCCATCCGTGGACACTTGGTGGCTTCCACCTGTCGGCCGTTGGGAGGGACACTGCTGTGAACGTGGCTGTGCAAATGTCTCTTCAAGCCCCTGCTTTCGGCTCTTCTGAGTACAGACCCAGGAGTGGGGTCGCTGGGCCACGTGCTCACGGTGTTTAATCTTGAGGAACCTCCACACTGTTTCCCCAGCAGCTGCACCTTTTCACGTTCCCACCAGCAGAGCCCAGGGTTCCACCTTCTCCACACGCCCCCCCAACACTTGTCATCTCTGGGGGTTTTGATAGCAGCTGTCCTGATGGGTGTGAGGTGGCATCTCATTGGGTTTTAATGTGGTCAGTGATGTTGAGCATCTTTTCACGGGCTTGTGGACCATTCGTGTATCTTTGGAGAAACGTCTGTTCAAGTCCCTTGCCTGTTTTAAGAATGAGAGGTTTTGTTGTTGTTAAGTTTTAAGAGTTCTCTCTGTTCTGGATATTAATCACTCATCAGATATATGATTTAAAATATTTTCTCCCATCTGTGTATTGCTTTTGTACTCTGTTGATAATGTCCTTTGATGCACAAGAGTTTTTCATTTTCATGAAGTCCAATTTGTCCATTTTTTCTTCTGTTGCCTGTGCCTTTGGTGCCAGATTTAGAAAGTCATTGCCAAGTCCAGTGTCGTGAAGCTTTCGCCCCACGTTTTCGTCTAAGAGTGTTATAGATTCAGGTAGGGATTTCGAGAAATGCTGTTCAGTAGCCCACTGCAGTGTCTGCTGCCTTCTCTCTGCTGTCCTTTCACGTGATGTGATTCCATGGAACATTCGGAGCCCTCCCGGAACCGCAGCCGCGCCCCCGGCTGGGCAGTGAGAGTTGTCCTGCTTGTCAGGAAGGAGGGGAGGGGAGGGGAGGCAGAGGGAAGGGGCTGGAGCTGGAGCAGGCGGCTCCTTCCCAAGGACTGGAAAACTGGCTCCGCTGTGCTTGCCGTAGGCCTGGCCTGGTGTCACCGTGGCCGTGAGGAATCGGTGTGTGCACTCCACCCAGGCCCGCCACACCTGTGAGTTGGGCCCGTTCACGCCACACTGGCTGCCGGTGTTGGTGGCATTTGCCCCTGGATGCCTGGGTCCGTGCCCAGGAAGCTTCGCTCACAGTGTCGCCAGGGTTTCCGTGTTTGTGAAGAGTGGATGTTAAACAGGCACTGAGAGAACCAGGACCCTCGTCGAGGGGGCCACTGTGCACCCCCATAGTCCTGCTCTCGCCTGGCTGGCAAGTAGGCCACACACAGTAGGGCAAGCGTCCTGCAGGTGACAGCCTGGTGTTCATCGGTCCACACCGGGCTGCCCGGAGCCCTGTGGTTTGGTGGTTTTGTTAAAATTCCTGGCTAAAACCATAAAACCATAAAGGCTCTTCGTAGGACTGGCCTCCTTCCTTTGTTGGCATGGGGGTGGGGCCTGTAAGATGACATTTGCAGGGAGCGAGATTGGTGGTCAGTCTTGAGCCAGAGACCTTGCAGTGCTGTTTGTGAGACGTCACGCACACACACCCCCACACGTCCACAGCCTCGCCGAGCGCCCCAGACATGTGGGGATAGGATTGAGCAAGACAGGCCTAGTGTTTGCCCTTGAATGGATCCGAGTGGATGTGGGACGGTAACCAGGCCTTGCCAGACACAGTATAGTCCCATGGTGCACTTGGGGTGGGGTTCAGGGAGGGCTCCGCAAGCGTGGCCTGGCCTTGACTTCCCCGCGAGGGGCATTGTAATGACGCTCGCCCTAACTTCCTATCTGTGAGGTTACATTACATGTCTATCTCGTTTGTCTCTCTCCACACACCCGAGAGAGTGGCTTCCCTGGGTAACGCAGGTGATGTGACAACCACCATCTGGGCAGCGCCTGCTCTCCTGGGGCCGTGCCCTCGGGCTGCCCTCCTGCCATCCAGCGAGGTTGGCAGAAGGGCCTGGAAGCCGTGGGCGGGCCAGACAGAGCATGGGGGACACGCCTTCCAGATCCCGCCTCCCGGTGGCTGGGTGTCTGCACACATTTGACACAGCTCTGTTCTCCATAGATTGACCGGCTCATTAATTATGGGGCTGACATCCTGAACCCCGTGACACTCACGCAGGGGGACAAGGTGGCTGTGGGCACAGCCGTGGACTACGGGTATTTCAGATTCTACCAGGTACGGCCTAGAAGTCACCTGATGTGATGGGGGTGGTGCTGGCACCTTTAGTGTCTCAAGTGCAAAGTTGGCCAGGGTCCTTCCCGCCTCTGACAGAAGCCAGCCTCTGGCCTTCTGGAAGAGACCTGGCACCCGAGTGCGTCACGGGCATGGCTACCTGTGTGCCAGCTTTTGGCATGTTGGTCTGGTTTGTCCTCAGTTACCATGGAGAGCAGAGGTGTGCTCCCTGCCCAGGGTCCCTCCTGTGGTGACGGGCCAGGCCGGGAGAGGGGCCTGCCCTCCCGGGATGGGGGCTGGTGCCCCGGGTCACCGGCGGTGGTGCCCTGGGTCACTGGCGTGCCGGGTGCTGTGCCGCAGGACCGGAAGATCGCCCACTGCCCCTTCCACACGCTGATGCCGGCAGAGCGGGAGACGTTTCTGGCCCGGAAGAAGCTCCTGGATTACATGGGCTTCCAGCTGCGCCGAGCTGTCCTCGCCAAGGAGAGCCAGTGGGACCTGAAGGCTCTGTACCTGAGCAAGCGAGGTGGGTGGCCGCAGGCAGGCCGGCCGGGCAGCGCCATCCTGGGGGTTCCCGTTGCAGCCCCGACCAGCCCGAGTGCCCGCTATGCCCAGGACATGGAACAGGACAGGCCCCCTCACGGGGGGCCGCTGAGTCTGGGGCCATGCTCCCTGAAGCCCTGGACTCCATGGGCCACAGTGAGCGGACACGAGAGAGGCCTCTCCTTGCTGCTGCTGGGCCTGGGTTCCTCCGACCTTGTGTCCCGCCCTCCAAGGTGGTCGTATGAGAGAGACTGAGGAGGGGTCCTGGCTGGGGAGGCGAGCCTGGGGAGAGGAGTCGGAGGGCACAGGCCCAGGGCCCAGGACAAGCCCAGGACAAGCCCAGGCCGCATGGTGGGAGTGCGTCTAGGAGCACGTTAGTCCAGTGCAGGGAACGTCTGCCCTACTGCCGTGCGCTGGGGACATGACACCAAAGACGGGGGAGGTGCCGGCTGAGCTGCTTGAGGCTGCTGCAGGGGGCCCTGTGGGCAGCGGGGCCGCCCCAGCCCTGGGCATGGGCTCCTCCCTGCGGGGACAGCGGTCTGCGGGCGGGCCCTTCTGCTCCACGGGAGGCCCGCAGGGGAGTATGACTTCAGGACCCTGCAGGCCTGGTGCCCGTCACTCCCAGGTGGACTGACCGGCACTGGGGGACGAGGAAGAGGGACCTGCTTGGTGCTTTGCTTGGCGAGACATGTCCTGGGGCCAGGGCGGGCTCCGTGCAGGAGGGCGTTGGGCAGGCAGCCCAGTGCTCCCTGCCACACGGGTGTCGCGGCACCAGCCGGAGGGCCCAGGGGGGCTAACGCGGGTCTCTCTGGGCACAGCGGAGCTGGTCTCCCACCACAGGCAGAAGCAGAAGGGTGCCAGCCTGCCCAACGCGCTGTACCTGCAGAAGGAGGGGCAGTAAGTGCCGGTGTGACCCTCCTCACCATGGGGGGGCAGCGGGGGTGGCAGGGCACACGCTGGAGAGGTCTGGTGGGGGCGGCTGGGTGGGTTTTGAGGCCAGGCTCCACCTCGTGAAGATGAGCAGTGTCTCAGTGGATGGACCCTGCCCCCCGCGCCCCCAGCCCCTGCACCGCCAGCCCCTCCTTGGGGTCACGGCTCTGCTCCCATGCTGCTGTTCCGGAATAATCTCCACGTGCCTGTGTGCCCTACTTACTGTCCCTGTGGGCATCAGACCATGCCCGCCCCGTAAACCCTGGGACGGGGCGGGGGTGCTGGGCGGGGCGGGCAGGGGCCGTGGGCCCCTCTGGGCTCACATTCCTCTGGAAGCATGGGGCTCGGGTGTGCGCAGCCCCCATAGCCCTGGGTGTGTCCGCTCGGAGCTGCTGCTCCCTCATCCACGCAGAAATCCCCCAGTCCGCACTGTACATGCGTGGCCCCAGCCCTGAGGGCCACCGCTCGGGGCTCCCTGGGCCCCCTGCTTGGCTCCTGTTCTGAGTGGCCCTGTGCTGGACGTCGCTGGATGGGACTTGAGGTCCTGTCCATGTGTGAGCGGCCGCCCGTGCAGAGGACGTGGGCGCGGATGGCACCACGCCCGACAGCCGCGTGCCCCCCGCAGGATGCCCTTCTTCAGGTTCTGCTCGCAGTGCGGCCGCTCCGTGGGGGTGCGCCTGGCGCCCTGCGCACGCTGCTACGGCATCCTCACCTGCAGCAAGAGCTGCAGGGCCAGAGCCTGGACCAGCTTCCACAAGCGGGACTGCGCCGTCCTGCTGGCCATCGGTGAGCCCCGCGGCTGGCCGCCAGGGCAGGGACACGGGCACTAGCCTGCGGGGTTGCTGGGCGAGGGTCTCCATCGTCCCCCCGAGTCTCTCCAAGCCAATCCACTTGCCAGAATTGTTAGAGGTACGTGTTGTGGGGACACAGAGGCCCCGAGCCAGCCTGGCACTTACCCACGTTTGGTGGACGCCATGTCCTGTGTGTCCATGGCTCCCTGGGGAGGGCCTGCCTGGACCCCACAGAGCGAAGCCACGATGCCTGGGGCTCCGCCAGACACCTGAGCTCCCTGGTGGACTCGGGTTCCCCTGGGCACTTGACCTTGGGGCTGTGACGGGAAGCGTGGGGGTCAGCAGACATTTGCTCTAGAAGCATCTCCTCTCCCTGTTCTCCCTCCTCTTCTGAGGTGACCTGAGGTGACCGCACTGGGCCGCTGCTCTGAGGGCGGCGGCGGTGAGGACAGTGGCAGGAGCTGCCTGTTCTTGCCTGTCCTTGTGCGAACGGAGGGAGGGGTGACTGACCCCTGCCCTTGGGCCGTGCCCCTGAGACCGTCCCTCTCTGAGCTGTGATACTTGCCGTTACCTCCATTTCTCCCTCAGTGAAATGGGGTTTTTAATACAGGCCCCACTCGGGGTGCACCCCGGGTCTGCTCACAGCTCCCTGGTGTGCAGACCCAGGACGGGGCTGGGAGGCTGTGGGGCCCCCTCTTTGAGGACCAGCCCAGCAGACACTTAGACCTCCGTGTACCACACACGTGTGAGCGCAGAGCTGAGCGCCACCTGTGCTCCCTGCGCCCCGGGGCTCCCGTCACCAGTGGTGTCTCGGGAACCCTCAGGGCCCTCACCGTCGTCCCGCCCCCAGTTTCCTGTCCAGGCGCCCACCTGGAGGACGCGAGCCGGAGGGCGGACAGATGTCAGTAAAGGAGCACGCTCGAGGCCGAGGCTGGGGACCTCACCTGCCGCACCTGCACCCGGGGCCACCGGGGGCTGCCTCGGGCCTCTGACCCTGGAACCGCCTGGCCTAACCCAGGCAGCCTGCGCTGCAGGGCTGTGCGCAGGGCCTCTCCCTCCTGACCCCACAATAAAGCGCCCCGCGGGGCGTGCTTTAATCCTCTGGGCTGCTGTGCCGTATGGGCAAGCGCAGACCTCCCCAGGGCGGCCGAGCTTCTGAGCTCCCTGGGGCCTGGGGGCTACTGCCGGAAGGCAGCTCCTGTGCTGGGGGTGTTTGGGGACCTCCCAGGAGCCCACAGCCCCCGCCGTCCATCCCCTGCTCAGAAGGGACACACTGGGGTGCCTCACGCTGCTCCCCACGGCTCCAGGCTCCCTGCCCGTGTCGAGGGTTCGTTTCCTCCACATGCGTTATTGTCTGCGTGTTCGACATGACTGCCAGGCGTGTGCTACAGGGGACAGTGGGTGCGGAACCCACCCATGGCTGAGATGGAGTTGGCGCTGGGGGGTGACTGTGGCGTGACGAGGGTGGGTCGGCTTTCACGGAAGGGGCAGGCGGAAGGGGGACAGTGAGGGTGCCTGTCCTCAGGCGTGTCCAGGTAGGAGGGGGTGAGCAGAGGGGTGGGGGCGGGGCAGGGACAGTGGGAGAGTTCGGCGGGGTGATGGAGCCTATGTGGGGGCCCCGGCCAGGCTGGCTTTCCACTGGTCGTGGCAGCCCTGCCTGCAGCCCTGGTTTCCTTGGTCTCTTGTCAGAGATGGGTTTCCTATTGGGCAGTTTTTGGGGGGCTCCCTAGTGGGCGGTGGTCCTGTGTGTGTGTGTGTGTGTCGGGGGGCAGTGAAGAAGGCGTCTGGGCAGAGGGAAAAAGGACCCTGTGTGTTGCTCTGCAGCCGGCGCTTTGCCCCCCGTGTCAGCCAGTCCTGGCCCAGGCCAGGTAACATGGCTGTGACCGGGGAGCAGGGTCCTGGCGGGGAGGGCCTTGTTGGGGGGCCTGGGGGTGGGGCATGGCCACAGTGCTCCTAATACTTCTGAATTCACGTTGTTCTTCTGTAAAAGTTAGAGTGTAATTGCTGAAGATCAATAACATTTATCCTGACACCTGGAAGTTACCATTGCCAACACCGGCGTGTGTTCTCCTAGTCCTGTCTGTCTACACATGCATACATGCACACACACGCACACACACACATGCACACACACACATGCACACACACCCATGCGCACACACACCCTGAGAGTGGGAGCTTGGTCTGTATATTCTAAATGAAGCCATGAATATCTTCCTATGCTATTAAATATTTTCTGCACCATAATTTCACCCCAATGAAAATTGCTTTATTTTTGTCCTGGATGAAATATTTGCTTGTCAGAAAAGACAAGAATAGATGAAGACAGTGAAACTCAAACCAATGTCCCACTCAGATGAATGTCCGGAGCATATTCTTTTCAGTTTTAATCTGTGCACAGACACGCGCACACACACGTGTACACGCTAGCACCACGCACATGTGTGTGCTTTTGCACACCTCCCACTGACTTTTAAAATGGAATGGTGAATTTCGCGACCTTAACCTGCCTTTGTAACACTGCGTGCATGTCCTGTCACCTGTTGTGTGTGTGTAACACCGTGCACGCGTCCTGTTACCTGTAGCATGTGTGCCCAGCGTCTTGTTGGGCACATAGGTTGTTTCTTTGTTCATACACCTTGGCCTGTTTTCCCCTCGGCTAAAGTTGCACAAGTTACATGTTCAGATTGTAAAGGAGTCGCATTTTCCGCTTGTATCACTGTGCTCTCCGGGAGGGCTGGGACCTGTCTGTGGCCTGCACCTCCCCAGGGAATGGCCGTCTCCTGGTTTCATCTGCTACATGGAAGTTTCCCTTTTGTTGTCGGCCCATCTGTCCAGCCTTCAGGGTCTGGTTTGCCTGCGCGCTGGGCAGCCCCCACCATCTCTTACCTCTGTTCCGTTCTGTGGCCACCTGGGCACCAGTGCAGCAGAGGCCAGCCATGTTGCCCCTGTGTCCACTGCAGGGCATCCCATCAAAGTCCTTGCTGCCCCCCCCGCACCTGTCCCCCGCCACCCCGTTGTGCGTGGCACCTGCCTGGACCGCTCCCTCTCTCCCTCCTGCCCCCAGGTGGATGCTGTGCGTGCCCTCTGACAGGCATGCTCAGGGCCTCCAGGATATCGTGGAGGACAGGGTAATGGGCCCTGCTCTGCGGAAGCCCGTGTCTTAGGCGGGGGGGCTGCGTCTGCCAGACCCCATGCACCCGGGCAGGCACCCTGCTCACAGCAGAGCTCCAGCTGCTACAACAGGGCCGGGCACCCGAGCAGTCCTCAGCACCCACCCATGGGGTGGCCCCGCCGGCGCGTCTAGTAGGTTCACCTCAGGCCACGTTTCCTGCCCACACTGTGTGTGCGGTCTGGCAGTGCGGCTGCGTCCTTGTCCCATGTTCTCTGCGTGGTCGGCTCCAGGCTCTGCAGACGTGGTGCCATCAGCGGCTTTCTCTTTATCCCTCCCCAGCACACTGGCGGCTCTGTGCGGTGTTAGGTGACAGTGACAGCAGCAGGGCCCCTGGAGCTGCGGGAATGCTTTCAGCCACCCGCTTCTTGAAGGACACAAGCCATTCCATTTTACGGATGTTACGTAAAGTTAGTGGTTCTGGCGTAAATCTTTAACTTTCATTGGACTACACTTTGTTCCATCAGCCAGTTTGTTAAGGCGACAGGGTGCCTTTGTGTGTTTTCACTCACGTGGAGACACGCCCACACCCGCCGGCCCACAGTCTCCTGCAGCTGGCAAGGCCGACTGGCCACGGCTCAGGCCACAGATAGGAGCGTCCTCACGGCCTCTCTCTCGCCTGAACACCCTGTTCAGGAAACTGGGTTGCGTCTATCTTTAGAATATACCGGACCGGCCACCTCTCACCTGCCCTTGGGGGTGGCCACTGTGTCTGGGGAGGGCACCTGGTGACTCTCCCTTGTGCCAAGCTCTGTGCCAGTGCCATGGAGAGGCTGGCCAAGCTGACCTCCATGTGTCCTCTCTGCGTCCGACCCCTCCCGCTGTGCCGTCACTGAGACTTGGGCCAGAGCTGCGCCTGCAGCCAGGCCAGCGACCGCCCCTCAGGTCCTCACGCCCTGCGGTCAGCCTTCCCCTTTACGGACCCCGAGGACTTGGAGGCCTGGCATTGCCGGTGTGTGCGAGCGCAGGGGGCCTCCCTGGGCCCCTGTCCTTGGGGCTCCCACAGAGCGCAGCGCCCTCTGGAAAGTTCTGTGATGCTGCTGAGACCCTCCACATGCCTCTGCTCGCTGAGTGCTGAGCGTGATGTCCCACCAAAGGCCCGTTGTCCTGGGGACCCTGCCCCTGGCTGCACGCGGAGTCACCTGGCCCCTTGGCTCTGGAAACACGGAGTCTGGTCACGTAGGCATTATTCAGGGTGGGGGTCCCAGCAGGCCCAGGGAGGCCTCGTGCCCAGGCCCCATGGCAGCCCCCATACTCTCCAGACCCCCACTGTCCTGCAGCCCCTCCTTTGTAGACTGCACCCCGTCATCAGGGACCTGGCATCATTGCTGGGGCTGTTAGTCACCTGCTGGAGGTTGGCAACAGGTAAATGTGTTCAAGTCACAGGGCAGGAGCCCTTGGCCTGCTGTGCTGGGGCCACCAGGGTGGGGGAGTCACAGGAGTGTGGTGAGCGGGGCGGGCTGCAGGGCCGGGTGACTGCTGGGGACCTACATGCCCGTGGGAGAAGGCCCCAGGCCTTGCATAGGCCGCCCTGGGTGTAACGTGGCGGCTGAGCCAGGCGACTGTGCAGGGGCCAGCTTGCCGAGGGCGGGCCGATGCACCTGCCCCGTCCCTGCCTTGGCCCCCCTTCCTCTCACTTGTGAACGTGCCCAGCCACCTGGCTCCCCGTCCCCTGTGACCCTCAGTCCCATCCTCCAGCCCCTGCAGGTTCCTCTCCACCACCCACCTGGACTCTCTCTTGGGCTGGGAAAGAGGTGCTCTGCCACCTGGCCCCCCCACGCAGCCCATGCTGGGAGCAGTGAGGCGGGCAGGTGGAGGGCAGGACCGCGGAGGGGTGGGGTGTTGCAGGCGGTGGACGGTGGTGTCAGAGTGAGCGTGGAACCAGGACCGCGGGGTCCCGGTGAGGCAGAAGGCAAGCAGGTGGGGACACGGGAGGAGGGACTGAGGAATGGCCGTGAGAGCCGGGAGGCGTGGGCAGAAGACGGGCAGGCAGGACAGTGGGCCCGTGGTGCCCGGGGTGGGTGGTCGCTGGAGGAGGCAGGTCCAGGAGGTGGAGGGGAGAGCAGAGGGGTGCGCAGGTCCCACTTAGTGCAGGGAGCCGTCGGCGGGGACAGGGCAATGAGAACGCTTTCGAGGAGGAGCCCGGGTCCTCAGGGCAGGAGGGCCAGCCGGGCCTGGGAGACGGAGGGACCAGTCTGGAGGTGGCCCCTCCCTGGGCCCCGTACCTGAGGGGTGGCCAGGTAAGGTCAGGGGGCACTTGCGAGCAGGGGCCCTGGAAGCTGGGGGTGGAGGGGTGTCAGGAGCAGGCCTGGGGGTGGGGGCTGGAGTGTTGGTGACGGAGATAAAGGGCCTGGAACTGGCCGGTGTCGAGGTTCTGCTCAGAAGCCAGTGTTCTGTGCTCTCTGCAGAGCTGGGTGGTGCAGGTGGCCCACGGGGTCCCCGGAACGTGGGGCCAGGAGCTGCGGGTTTCCAACCAGCCCCAGACAGGAGCCCAGCTGCTCTTCCTGGGAGCTTGGGGAGCTGGGCACCTGCCCTTCCTCGGGCCACATCTGCAGGCTGCCCGTGAGCCTGGGGAGGCCCCACACAGGCCGGGGCCTGGAGCCCGAGGCCCGGGGCTCTGGGCTGTTTTGTGTGTGGTTTGTGTTCCTGTTTTTTAAGAGGCTGACCCCATACAGGCTTCTCGGCCCTATGAAACCTGGTGCAACATCAGAAAATTTTTAAAAATCAACAAAATAATAAAAGAGCCCGTGACCTCCCACCACTCAGGTGGATGGATGTTATGCCGGGTGGCACCAATCTGATGCTGGCGTTTAAAGGACAGAGAGCTACACCAGCGCCGTCCCCCACCCGCGGCTGGGCTGTGTGCGCACCCCCGTGGCACCCAGAATTGCCTCTCACAGTGAGGTTTCACACCGCACGGCCCTTTACAAAGTCCTTTTTGCATTTCCCTGATGACAGGCGAAGTTGAGCGTTTTCATATATTTATTTATCGGCCATTTGGAGGTCTGAGAACGGCCTGTGGCCTGCATGTCACTTTTGCCCGTTTCTTCTGTGGTATGGCCTTTTTTTGTCCATGGTGGGAGCAGCTCGTGTGTGCTGTGGCCGACATGTCACGGTGTCTCTGGCCTTCCTCAGGCTCGCGTGCCCAGACGCCAGGCTAACCTATCTTGCTCTTTGTCGCAGTGGCTGTTTTCTGGGAAGGCGTTTTGAAATGTCGCTTTACACATTTTGGTTCTTCCATCCAAAATATGGTTTTTGTGGGTAGCGTGTGGTAGGGGCCGTTTCATGTGGACAGTCAACGTCTGGCACCGTGTGTGTGTGTGTGTGTGTGTGTGTGTGTGTGTGTGTGTGTGGTCTCGTCCCCACCCTGGCAGCCACCCACCTACCTGCTCCCGTGCCTAGAATGTCAGCCAGATGGACTCAGACAGGGTGGCCCCTTGCCTGGGGGCTGCGCTCATGCTGCCAACCTGTGGGCGAGGCTCAGGGGGCCCTGCTCTCCACAGGGGTCTCAGTTCCACCCCGTGGCTGCCCCTCTCCCCCACCTGCTCTGCAGGGGTTCCCGCAGCCACTGCCATCTGCCTCCTTGGGGTTCGCCTTCTGCAGGGGATGGCCTCCATCTCCCCATCTGGCACTCTCCTAATCTCTGTGTTTCTTTAAAAGACCCGCTGGTTCACTAGACTAATTGTGGTGGTCATTTCACAATATCCGTTGCACCGCCATGTTGTACACCTGAAACTAGCATAACGTGGCGCGTCCATTATAAAAAACAGGCCGGCCATTTGCCTCTCTGGGACCACAGGGCGCTGACTTCACAGACCAGCTGCCCTCCGCTCCAACGCCCGGTGCTGGCTCTAGGCAGGTGCCTTCCTGCATGTCGTCATTCTGATTTGTGCTGCCGTTGCCGGGGTGTCACCCCTTCCCCAAGGAGCTTGGTTCTGCCCTCTGCTGGGTGAGCCCTGATGCTCTGGCACCTGTTGCTGTCCCCGTCAGCTGAGGACCAGCAGGACACAGATGCGCACGGAGACGGATGTCGGCACAGAGGCCCGGCAGCCTGACAGCCGTGTCCCTTCCTTGGTGTCACGGCTTCGGCGCCGGCCCCACCCCAGCCTGTCTGCTCACCCCTGAGGCCCAAGGGGTATTTCTGCGTCTGACACCCCGCACCCCCTTCATTCACTGCCCCTCACGGGCCCTCAGCTTCCTTTTTCTTTTTAGCGCGTGACACTCCCTGGGACCCCAGGCAGCTCCTGGCTGTAAAATGCCTCATGTGGTCCAGCATCCCGACGTGTCTGCCGAGTGCTGGGCTGTGGCCTCTTCAACTGGATGTTTCCTAGTGTTTTCTTCCATTTCTTGTCCTCACGCCAAGACGGTTGACCTGGCCCTGGGCCGATGCGGCCTATTTTTAGAGCTTGCTGGCTCATTTCTGCTCCCCCAGGTCGGGTTTATGCTAGAAACCGGGAGGGCTGCTGCTCACAGTCCCAGGCCACACGCAAGAGGGAAACGTTTAGGGTTGCCGAGGCTTCGCTTTGGGGCTGGAGTCCTGTCTGGGAGGGATCGTGTCTGTGCCGGGTTGGGGGAGGGCTTGCCAGGGTCTCCGAGATCCCATCCCATCGTCACCTCCCTAGGCTCTGCCCCCATCTTTGGTGGCCCTGACTGCGACGTGCCACCTGTCTTCGGTTTCCAGACGCCTACTTCTTGTCCTTCCACCACTTACTAGGGACTGAGGGCCGGGGGATCAGTTCTCCCTCCTGGACTCGAGCCAGTGCTTTGATTGTAAATGTCATTTCTGGACAGAGGTTGTCTCCAGGTAGAGGAATGCTGTGTCACCTGGAGGGGGCAGAGTGCACGCCTGTGTGCACACAGGTGTGTCTGAGTGTGAGCATATTTGCATGCGTGCACCTGCCTGGGCCGCCCACTGGAGGCTGCCTGTGGAGCCGGTCACTCTTTGCCCGTCACTGTGGGTCATCAGGACGGCTGTGGCTTCCTGGACTCCCGTGAGGAGTGCAGGGGACCGAGAGCCCTGGGTGGGCGGGGCTTGGAGCTCAGGGCTGGTCCAGAGGGCCCAGCGTGGGCCGAGTCCCCCAAGGTGGGCCGTCCTGTGCCAGACACCCACCTCACCCGTGCCCTCATTACCCGGCAGGGAAAGCGTATATGCCCCTGTCCAGAGAGCACTCCCAGAAGCCCCTGAAGCGTCCGGGCACATGCCAGGTGCCTGCAAGCTCCGAGCTGCCGCACAGGTGGAAACTCAACTACAGCGATGCATGAGCCGCTGCCCCAGCCGCCCCGGGAGGGAGGACCTGTGCCTCCGGCACTGCCATGTCTGACCAGATACGCGACCTGGTGAGCCGTAGGCCCTGCTGCACCCCACTCCGTCAGGAGCTGCGACGCTTTGGGGAGCCCCTCCGAGGACCCGAGTTCTTCCTTCCAGGGCACACTGACCCTGTGCTAAGGGGCCTGCTGCTCGCACTCGGGGCCCGGGCTCCCGGCCGCTGGGCCCTTAGCACGCCAGGCCCCGGGTGACAGACAGCCTTTGTTGAATGTTTGTCAGGCTGCTGGTGCAGCTGCGACGTCCAAATAAAGTGACCCTTGGGCGGCTCATGTGTCCGTGTTGGCTGCCAGCTTCTGGCTGAGGCACCAGGCGCTGCACTTGACGGCACCCCAGGGAGGAGGCTGAGGACGGGGCTGGCAGCTTTGCCCCAAGGATCACACAGGAGTCTCCGCTTGGGGACACAGGGCGGCTGGAGCCCGGGTCCTGCTCTGGTGACAGGCGCTGGGTACAGCAGGCAGGGCTCTGGGACCAGACCGGACAATCAGGGCATCCCACCAGGCCCCACCTCAGGACAATGCTGGTCCCCATGCTCCGGCCTTCTAGGCATGACTGAGGGTACCTGGCGGGAACTGGGACCGTCCCCCACATGTGTGTCCAGAGCAGGGGAGGGGTGGATGGCAGGAGGCCCTGGCCTTTTTCCTGCTCCAGGGCACCAAGTCGGCACTCAGCAGCCTTGGGGCCATGCCGCTGGGTACAACCGGGTCACCTGCTGACAAGCCCCACTGTGCCCCGCTGGGTACACGCTCGCTGCCAGGATGCACAGGGAGGGGTCACTGCAGCCATATGAAGTTTCCAGCCTTTTATTCATACAAGGACTCAAAGAACACACGTCGCCTGCTGACCCCGGGCGGCAGGACACAGCAGGCCTGGCCGCCGCCTGTTCGCTGACTGGCAGGGCCGCCCCTGGCAGGAACGCATGAGGGCGGGGCCAGAGCACAGGCCCCCTTGGGGCCATCCCTGAGCAGCGCAAGTGCTGCCGTCCTGGCACAGACAGTCACACCCCAGGGTCCCTGAGAGTCCAGCCGGCCCTCACATGCAGGGAAAGGGGCCCCGGCTCAGCCCCCACCCCGACACTAGCAGGGCCGTTGTGGGGTGTACCTGGGGGACTGGGCTGCCTGGTGGGGCACAGGCCGGGGGCCCAGGAGCCACACATGCGAGGGCCATGCCAGGGGCCCTGGCCGGTGGCCGGAGGCCTCCCCCACCCCACGAGAGCCAGAGCGGCGCCAAACGGCCTTCTCAGGGGCCCAGTGCTGGTTAGGAACGCCGTCCCGACCTGGGCCCCCCCCCCCCAGGGCCAGCAGCAGCTGGGGCCCAGGTCCCTCTCAGGCCGTTTGGGAGGAGCGGAGGAAGCGGCTCTCAGCCAGCAAGGATGAGAAGCATTGGTGAATGTCTGCACGTCTGGAAAAGCCCTTAACTGTCAGAGCTCCCCTGGCTCCCTGCAGCAGGCGGGGTCGACGAAGGGACCAGGCAGCCCTCTGGCTTGCGGTCCCAGGATTTGCTGGCCCCGAGCTGAAGTTTCCTCAGCCGCCCAGCATCGCTGTGGCCAGGTGACAGCCGTGGGTCACCACCAGCCCTGGCCTGCGTCATCCTGAGCTGGGACCCGGCCCTGTGTGTGAAGGGGACGCCCGGGCCTGCTCTCCTGGGCTGGCTAGAAGCAGCGGTGCCACCCCAGGCAGCTGAGGGCAGAGCCCAGCGGGTGTACGTGCCGGCGGCAGCTTCTCGCGCGTCCAGGCCCCTCACTGCTGGTCTTTGGCAAGGTCCGGAGGGCCCAGCGTGCCAGACCGGCGCTCACCCCGACACAGGTGCTCTGGGGGCCGGCAGCATCACAGGGTGGGGGGCCTGGCTGCATGTGAAGGGTTCATGCATAATCTCAAAGGCCCTGTGAGACCCTGGATGGCAGAGACCCCGACACCCTCTCAGGGATTCTCGGGGCGCTGAGTGGGAGCCCCTAGTTCTCGGTGGGAAGCGGCAGGAGAGGAAGGCATAGGCACGCGCGTGCTCTCCAGCGGGACGCTGCTCGGGGCGCCTCCCTGCAGGGCGCCTCCCAGGCACTGCTGCTGTGACGGTGCCGGGAGCTGGGGTGAGGGGCGGGCGGGCGGGCAGGAGGCGGCCACTGGCATCCCCAAGGTCCCTGAAATACATGGCTTTTGGGGACATTATTCCCGGCTGACCTGAGGGCCTCATACAAAATTAAGAGCCAGGGTGACGGGCAAGGCCAGGCCTGGGGGGCCAGCGCCACGCGCCCACCCCCAGCGCGGTCACAGAGCAGCGGTCTTGCACTGTCCCTCCCTGCCCTGCCCGGGGGCCTCTAGGCCGAGGGGAATTCAATATCGTCCGTTTCACCTTTGGCAAGGTCAGTCCTTGGCCGAGTCCCTGGGGCCGGGGATGGTTACCGCCACCGGGGCCTGGCCGCTGAGAGGACCAGAGCGAGGACGAGCAGCAGGAGGAGGGCTGTGCGGGGCTGGGGGCAGCGGGCGGCGCGGGAGGTCTTGTGTCCCTCCTGCTCCGACAAGCCGGGGAGGGCGTGGGTCAGCGGCGTCCGGGAGCTGGAGCTCTTCCTGTCGGTTCTCCGGCCGCAGATGTCCTCAGGGCAGCCATCGCCGCTGCCTGAGCCGCTGCCATCGTCACCTGGGGAGCAGAGGAGGCTCGGGCAGGCCCACCCAGCCCGGGGCCAAGGGCAGCGTCCACGCTGGGGCACCACCTCCACCCGGACCGCAGCACCCTGAGCCCTGGTGGCCGGCACTCCCTGGGTTGGCCGAGGCTGGATGAACATCCTGGCCAGGTCGCAACTGTGCCTGCGGACGGGTCAGGGAGCCTGGGCAACAGCAGTGCCCTCAGAGCCCCCGCCTGCCTCTCCCCAGCTGTGGGGGGGCTCTGGTACCCCTCTGCGGACCCCATGGCTCTCAGCCCCCGGCCCCCCGCACCCAGCCCCAGTAGCCCGGGCCTCACTGGCGTCCTGGAAGTCGGAGTCCTCCCCGTTGTAGGCACTTCGCAGCCGGTTGGTCATGATCTTCAGCTGCATGATCTGCTGGCGGATGGTCATGTCGGGCTTGGTGATGTCCACCTCCACCTCGGGGTTGTTGATCTGGTTGGCCAGGCCGTCGCCCATCACCTCGGGGAGGTACCTGGGGCCGGGGGGCAGGCCCTGGGTGACTGCCTCAGGCCCTGCAGAGGGGCACCGCCCCCCACTCCTTTTCCCGCCTGGGCGGTTGCAAGCCTGAGACCGCTGATGGCTTCAGGGGCCGATGGGAGACCACACAGGCCCCACGACAGCAGGGTGTGGACGCACTGGGCGTGGTGCATGCTGCGGGCGGCGGGGACAGGACGAGGACCAGGCTCTCATCCCAGCTCTGTGTCCTGCTGTGTGTCCCGTGTCAGGCATGGCCCTGTGCACACAGCACTCGGGGCCACGGGCTGAGACCTCCATGGAGGGATGGGCTGTGGTCAGCTGGGGGGCGCTTACCGGCCCTTGGCCATCCCGTTCCAGCAGCGGTCATCGCTGGCGGCGCTCATGGCCATCTTCTCGCTGCACAGTGTCCCCGGTAGACTGATCCAGAAGTCCTGGGCGTCACGGAGCTGGGCTTTGGCCTCGGAGACCTGTGGGCAGCGGTCAAGCCCTGGGGTGCCCTGGCCCTGCCTGGCCTCCCCTCCCCTGAGGGCGCCTGGCCCAGCCTGCCCCCCGCCCAGGGCCTGGCCAGCGAGTGGCCACTCACCAGCCTCTCCAATGTGCCTGTGGGAGGCTTCTCCTGAAGGACCAGCTTGCCTTGGTGCCGCTTATCCTCAGGCCCGGGGCCCTGAGGGTTCACCTTGGGGTTCCCGCAGCTCTGGATGACCTGGGTGTGGAGACCACAGGGGTCCCGGGGACATGAGGCCATGTCTGGGACAGCCCTCCATGCCCACTGCACCCCCCTGCTCAAACCTTGGCTGTGAGTGTGTCCCTGTTGTCCTGGAGGGCGTTGATGGCCTCCGCCAACCACACGTGCACGTTGCCGATGACACTCTCGGCGCCGGATGGGCCCCAGAACTTGTCAGTGATGACCACCATGGAGTCTGGCACAGGCGTGGGCAGAGGACATTTAGTGTGTCTGCATGCTGGGCCCTTATGTGACACCCATGTGCTCACATGTTGACACGCATGCAGCATGCTGCTCTACATGTGACAGCTCACACACAGGTCAGCACCTATGGGCTGATGTATGTGCTTGCCAGCTCGTCTTGTGGGCATGTCTGTGGCGCACGTGTATGTGAGCTCGCACGCGTGCGGGCACGTGCTTCTGGCCCACCATGTGCACGTCAGCCCACTCACGCATGTTGTCTTCACACTGGCTTGCATCACGCCATCACATGCACACATGAACACATGTTCGAACGTGTTGGCCCTCAGTGTCAGCACGTGTCAGCAGTTATGGGTGCTGGCATACTGGTGTGCTGACCCACCGCGTGGCAGCATATGTACACATCACGCACATGGTGGCCTACAAGGTGTCAGCACACGCATACACAGCTGACCCACCATGGCAACAGCTCATGCCTGTGGCGGCCCATGTCACATACATGTTGGCATGTGTTCATGTGGGCCCATCGTGCGTCACACATGTGTTGGCATGTATGCATGTTGAGGCACTCGCTCAGTGGAGAACGACAAGAACTACCATGTTTCCCCGAAAATAAGACCTGATCGGAAAATAAGCCCTAGGATGATTTTTTCAGGATGCGCGTAATATAAGACCTACCCCAAACATAAGCCCCAGTTAAGATCGTCAGCCAGACATGACTGTTTGAATAAATGTAGATTTTTGTACATGAATAAATGTAGATTATTAGAGCAAAAATTAATATAAGACCTGGTCTTATTTTCGGGGGAAACACGGTATGACCCCACAGGGCTCCCTCCCAGGTCCATGTCACACTCCACCTGCGACATTCACAAGGAAGCCTTGTCCCCTGGCCCGAGGGCCCGTGCGTGGTGGCAGTGACGACTCACCCAGAAGGTTCCTCCACTCGGCGTCCAGGTCGGCCTGGTTGGCCAGGCAGCCCTTGAACACGTTGCGGCAGTAGTCCGGGCAGGGCCGGGCGCTGGGGACCCCCAGGCAATGCGCACAGTACACCAGCTTCATGACGGCCCGCGAGCACTCGGGGCCCAGGGGCACCTGGGGAGCCAAGGCAGCCTGAGCACCTCACGGCCGGTGCCCAGTCTCCCGGGAGCCCCAGGGTGGGGACTCTGGACAGAAGTCAGGTGGCTTCTGCTCTTCCCATCCGCAGTGGCACCTGGCCTGGCCCTTCTAGGGGGCCCTGTCTCTTCTCAGACAAGTGGGCCTGCCGGTCGTGGGGGGCATTCACCCTAATAATCACTACTGTCACAGTGCTACGACCCCCTGGCACACTTCTTCTGTCACTAAGCCTCCCAGGAAGCCCACCCACAAATACACCCGCCATGCAGATGACGGGATGGAGGTTCAGGGCTGGGGGTGACCTGCTAAGGACCGCGGCTGGACGGGTAGGCGGCTCACAGCCAGGGCCGATGCCCTCTCACACCTGTCCCCAGGTGGGTCTGACACAGGCTGCCCAATGGGGCGAGGCAGCCTGCTGGCTTGTAAAGCCTCAGGCTCCAGCCTGCTCCCGCCTCCAAGGACATGTCTCTCATCTGCTGTCCACCTGACCCCTGTAGTTGGCTCAGCGTCCAGACCCAGCGTGGCCGGGGACTGGGCGGGACAGCAGGTGGGCTGCCCAGAGTGGAACTCACACCCAAAGGTGCTGTCGGAAGGTCCCTGGGCAGAGCGCAGGGCCAGGAGGCAGCCCAGAGGCCCATGTCCAGGGGGCTGGGGTCTGCAGTGGCGGGGGGCCGGCGGGGGGGTCCCTAAGGGCTTCTGAGACCCCGGGCAGCTGTGCGCACCTGGGCCACCTTCCGGACCACGTCGCCAGCCACGCCCAGGCCTTGCACGAAGGCGCGAGCGGCCACGAAGGCGCGGGTAGCGCGCAGGCGCAGCTCACGTGGGGCGTCCCCGAAGGGCCGCAGTGCCTCGGCCTGCTTGCCCAGGCAGTCCAGGTAGTCGTCGGGCAGCAGCCGCTGCGGGTGTGGCTGCCTGAACAGGCGCTCGAGCAGGCGGGCCCAGAACTCGGCCAGCGTGTCCTCCAGCTGCAGGTTGGCACCGCGGTAGTAGAGGCGCAGCTCTGCGTACAGGTCCCGGAAGGCCTTGGCGCTCTGTGTGTACAGCTCGCCGTAGGCGCTGGGGAAGGCATCCTGGAGCGCCCGCTCCGAGTCGTTGAGCAGGAGCTGGAAGTGACCTGGGCAGGGGAGGTGGCCCTGAAGCCTTGGGGGCCCCTGCGCCCCCGACCGCCCCGCTTGCTGTGGCGGTTGGGCCAGGCTTCAGGGCACTCGGCCTGGGACACCTGCACAGGGTCCCCACACATGGGACACAGCCAGGAGTGCAGGGTGCTGGGCGGCCCCCGAAGGGGCTGCCCACGTCCCACCCACCCCTCCCCAGGTGGCCAGGGAAGGCTCACGCAATATCATCCTCAGAAGTACGGCTGACCTGACAGGGACAGGTGGATGCTAACGAGCTGAGGCCAGTGAACGCTGGCCAGGCTCAGCAGCCATGCAGAAGTGACACGGGGCCCCTGGGAGCCTGCGAGACCAGCTGCTGTGGGCAGGCGGCCGGGCGACCCACGAGCCTCCGACAGAATCCACGTAGGGATGCCCTGGGCCTCAGGCGCCCGGGCCTGATCTCGGCTCAGGCTTGGCTGGCCACCCCACAGCACTGCCGGGTGCCTTCTCCCTCCAGGGTCACTTCCTGGGGACGCCCTCCCACTGTGCCCACAGCAGGTGTCATGTCATCCCACCATGCCTCATTTCGGGCCTCCTGCCCTCTGCCCAGACTCAATGTGACAGCCGCAGGGGGCGGGGAACGAATGGCTCATGGTGCGGGGGGGCGGGGGGCAGCTGCCCGAGAGACGTGAGGACCACACCAGGGGCCCGAGAGTCTTCCCGCCCCCACCCCAGCACTCTGCAGCCCTGGCCTGGCCCCGATCTCAGCCCTCGCGCTGCGCTCCCTGGTTGTAGCCACCTGGTGGCAGCACACGGCTGGGCCCTGGCAGGTGCTCAGGAGAGCCCCGCAGGTGACGAGGAATGACCTGGGGGGGAGCGGATCCCCTCTGACCCGCTAATACAAATGACGATTCTGCACCCCCAAACAGGCATGCGTGTCCCGTGCTCACCATGGGGTGTCTGTCTCAGAGGCCTCAGGCTCGGGGGCTCATGGGTCCTCTGCTCAGGCGCCTGTCCATGGGCAGCCTTCTGCTGCTGGGACCCCCCAAATCGCAGCCCCCAGCCCCAAAGTGCTAACCCCACCCCCTGCAACCCTTCCTCGGCAGGTGAGGCCCCGTGTGTGCCCCGCTCCCCACTGCGGCAGTGTCCCGAGTCCCAGGCCCACTCACCATCAAAGCCCCGTAGCTGGGAAGCCAGGGTGGCCTGCAGGGCGCGGCCGCTGTCCAGGAGTGCGGTCTCCAGCTCAGCACGGCTACGGTTGGCCAGGTTCTCCTCCATCTCGCTGGTGCAGCAAGTGTAGCCCTGGGAGCAGATGCGCAGGTGCTCACCTGTGGGGGGGCCGCGTGTGAGGGAGAGCAGGGCCAGGCCGGGGCGCGGCCCCGCACGGGCAGCTTTGGAACAGCAGAGCTGGCCTCAGGCTGGGGGGGTCTCCTGGGTGGAGTGGGCGTGCACAGCCCAAGTGGGGGTGCCTGAGTGCAGGCAGAGAGGGGGTGGCGGTGGCCTGTGCAGCCCCAGGGCTTCCTCTGCAGGCTCCCACCTCCGGGACCCCAAGCCCGGTGGGGGAGGGGCACCAAACAGGGGTGCAGAAGCTGAGCTCCAGGGCAGGTGTCAGAGGTCAACCCCACTTGGCTGCTCCTAGTCTCCCAGCCCCACCCTGCTGCCTCCATGCACTGAGGTCACGTCTGCACCCCAGCACAGAGCAGCCTGGGGGCCTGTGGGGGGCAGTGCCAGACTCAGGCTCACTGCAGGAGGCCCAGGCTGAGGACTGAGGACGGGGTCCCTGAGGAGCAGGGGGGCAGCCTCAGTCTCCTGCCCCCAACGTTGCCTGGGGCAAAAGACCTACTGGGGGGTGCATGGGGACAGGCAGTTCTGGGCTGGCCAGAGGCAGTGTCCCAAAGGGTGCAGGCTACCCAGGTCAGGACAGGGCTCGGGCACAAGCTGGCTTGGGGGGGGCCTGATGTGAGCCCCACCCCCACCCAGCAAGACACACCTGTGCCCCCTTTGGTGTCTGTCCCCTCCTCTGCACCCTCAGAGCCCTCTGGCATCACTGCTCACAGCAGCGTGCTCTCCCTGTCTCCACCCTGATTCAGGACAGGCTGGGTGAACAGTGCCTCTCGGGGAGCGGCGCCTGCGGGAAGGGCGCGGTAGGTACTTAACGTGCAGGCCTGAGAGGAAACGCTGCACCTTGAAAAACATGCTGGTCCCAGTGTTGTAACAACTGTGGTTTTGAGGGGGGTGCTGAGACCCCATTTTACAGACCAGGAAACTGAGGCTGACAGAGATCAGGCTTCTTGTCCAGGTTACACAGTGAGGGGCCCGACACCCCCGCCCCCCAGGTCCCCACAGGCTGCACGTCCCATGGAGGAGGGTCCCTGCTGGGCTCCCGTGAGTGGAGGCAGGGGTCTGGCCTGGACAGAAGCCGTGTGGGGCTGGGGTGGAGGGGTGCCCTTGTGCACAGTTGTGGGGTGGGGGTGGAAGGGCCTGGGCAGAGCTCCCAGGGCCCCGAGGCTGTCCTGAGGTGGGGGCTGCGAGGTGACCTGTCCCAGGACGTGAGTGATGGTGGTGGGCAGAGGCCTGGGGGGGACGGCCTGGGTTATGAGGCTGTGTTCCCTAGTTATCCCCAGGCTGTCAGCCCTGAGGAGCTTGTGGGGGCAGCCAGGTCAGAAGAGGTTTGAGTTTATGTCTGCACCCCCAGAGGTTGAGACAAGTGAGTGGACAGAACAGAACGGTGTCTGGGCTCGGTGAGGACAGTCAGGAGAGAGGGGCGGTGTGGAAGGCAGGGTGGGAGGGGCCTGGGACAGCCCCGCAGACGCCAGGTGGCAGGGCTGCAGGTTTGCTGGGAGAGGAAGGGGAGGGGCGGGAAGGACTGTCCCCCCTTTCCCACTCACGTGCCCTGGGCAGCCTCACTCCTCAGGACCCCAGGTGCCTCTGCTCTCGACACCTCCCTCCTCTGCTCAGGCCTGCTCCCCGTCCCCCGCCCCAAGGGACTGCATGTCTGGGGACCACCACCCCTGGAAGTGATGCCAGCAGCCCCAGGGAGGGGCTGTGCTCCCCACCGTGGGTCAGGGCTGACGGACAGATGGGAGCAGTCAGACCACTGTGTGCGGCCCCGTGGAGGGCCCAGGCCTGCGGGAGTGCAGCCAGGGCTCTGGGACCCGCCCCCTGGGGCGAGTGAGGCTTTTCAGGCCAGGCGGGGGGGGCGGGGCTTCTGGCAGCCAGCTGGGGTGAGGTACGGAGCCTGGCTCCGCGGGGCCTGGCAGGGAGGAGGCATCCCCGTCCCCCGTAGGCGCCTCCAGGTAGGGAGGGCTGGGACAGGAGAACATCCCCAGCTACCGCCTTCCCTCTCAGCTGCTTTTGCTGACTGGGGTGTGGCCCTGGACCCTTGCCAGCAGGGGGCAGGGCAGCTACTGAACTGTGTCGCAGAGGGTGGGGGCCTAGGTGTGCACCCAACCAGGAACCAGTGGCACCCCCACCCTGCCAGCCTCCCCCCCGCTAATCAGAACACGGCGGTGCTGGAGGTAGGGTGAAGGGGTGAGCTGCGAGGTGTGCCCTCGGGGCGGCGGATTCAACAGGTGCCAGCCTGGGGCTTCCAGGGGACACCCTGGGCTCAGCTGTGACAGCGATTCAGGCCAGGCTGGCTGGGTCACGGGCCAGTGGGTGGGCCGCAAAGGCGTAAGCCGGCTGCCCTGTCCAGAGCCTCCTGGTCGACCCAGCCCCCATCCCCGACCCTCCCACTGATACACACAGAGGAGAAAGCAGCCCCGTCCACGTCCACAGACAGGTGAGCCCACAGGCAGCGCCCTTGGGAGCTCGCCCCACCCAGCCCCGCCCGGCCACCTCGCCCAGCCGGCCGGTGACCTGCGCTGTTCCGGCAGCCCCAGCACAGCCCCCGTCTGTCCCTCCCTCGTCGGACACACACGGGAGTGAAGACACGGAGCCAGAGCCTGGGC